GCAGAGATTAGGATTTACAATACATAGGAAAATTACATCAGATCACAAAATGGAGGACCACCACACAATACTGGGAATCATGGCCTAGTTGACACATATTTTGGGGGGGACACAATTCAACCCATGACCGATACCAATCGCTAGATTGAAAGGGCCCAATGACTATAAAGCACAGTAAAAAAGATACACATGAAGGCATGGTATGGTGAAATTTCAGAATATGAGGAGAAAAGAAGTATATACAATATTCCAGAGAAACACTGGTGATGTTTGCACAACATGATTTATGTAATAGGTGTCACTGAATTGTACATGTAAAAAATGTTGAATTGGCAAATGTTGTGTTAATTATATTTTACCATAATTAAAAAAAAAGAACTAAAAAAAAATTTAGGATGGCTTATCTTATAAACAGGGATCTAAATATCAAAATGGCTTTGGATTACTCAACAGCAACAGTGGAACCAGAGAGTGGGCTAATGTCTTCAAGGTTCTGAGGGAAATGCTTTTCAAGCTATTGTTCTATAACCAGCTATACTAGCAAAGCAAGGAATAAAAACATTTTTAGAATGTAAAGTAACAAAAAATAAAAATGAAACCTGAGATCTAGAAAAAGGGAAATCTAACACAGAACACAGACAAAGAAAACTCCCAGGATGGTGGTGAAGGGAAGCAACCAGCTCAAATTAGAGCAGGAAGATGGAGGGTTTTGAGAGGAAGCAAGCCAAGAAAAAAAAAATTAACTGATAGGTTACCAGGCATACTTAACTATAAAGAGTTCAGCTAACAGAATAGAAATAGTCATAAGCATACAGAACAGCAGAAGTTAAAAATGAAAGAAATTACTAACTACAAACAAAACACACTCAAATGCTCATACAAAAAAGAACATATAATCATACTAGTTACCTACTTGGTTCTTATAATAACATAAGCATTGAATATACTTACCTTAGAAAAATTGCGATATATACTTATTGTCATTTATCATAAACTTTATTGTATAACTTGTTGCCATCGAGTCGACTCCGACTCACAGCAACCCTATAGTACAGAGTAGAACTACCCCATAGGGTTTCCAAGCTGTAATCTTTACAGAAGCAGACTGCAACATCTTTCTCCTACAGATCAACTGGTGGGTTTGAACCACTGACCTTTCAGTTAGCAGCCAAGCATTTAACCACTATGCCACCAGGACTCCTTATTTACTTTATACACTACACATTCATTATACTATATGTCTTATATATGCATATATTACAATTATATCTATATAAACATATATATCTAAACAAAAATGTAACATAAAAGAATATAAATAAAAGTGGTAAATCCTCATTTTCAGAAGAAATCAAAAGAATGAGCTATAAAAGCATATTTTCCTAGAACTAAGGAAGAAAATACCACTTAAACAGCTAAAAGAATTGAAGAAGCTGGGGATTGAGATTGAATGGTTAGAAAAACTGGAGCAGGAGACAACAGGAGAGGGAAAACAAAGATCTGGGAAGAAACAAATGACTCAAACAAACTTTGTTCATTGTTTTTTCAATTCTATGAGATTAAAATCTGCAGGCTGGCCAGATAGTGAGATTTACCAGTCCAGGGTTTGTAAAAGATTGCAGACAAGCATCTCCAGGCCACCATCAGATCTCATCCCAACTCCTTACTCTCTAATTAGGACGAGAGAAAAGTTATTACCTCCAGAAAACCAGAATTTGTCAACTTTCTTTAGCAGGCCCTTATTTCACATTGATTAGATAGATAGATTAGGTAGAGAGTGATAGTGAGCAAAAGATAGATGGGAGGGATAGGAGGGACAGAGGGAGAGAGAGAGAAGAGAGAGATAATCTGTACTCCCTGATGGTCACTGCTCAGAGGAAATGGACAAATATTTTGAGCCAAGCAGCAGTTCATGGACTCCTTCATTAAAAATGCACCCTGTAGATACAAGGAAAAGATTAGTCCAAAGGACTAATTGTCCATGGCTACCAAGGCCTCCACCAGACTGAGTCCAGTACAGCTAGTACCACCTCTGACCAGGATCACAACAGAGGGCTCTGGACAGAGCTGGAGAAGGATGTAGAACATAATTCTAACTCACAAAAAAAAAGACCCGATTTACCGGCCTAAAGGAGACTGGAGAAACCCCGAGTGTATGGCCCCCAGACACCCTTTTAGCTCAGTGCTAATGTTATCTCCGAGGTTCACCATTCAGCCTGGGAGTGGACAGCCCCGTAAAACCAAATGAGACTAACGAGGTACAGGAGTCCAGTGACGAGGGCCAGAAGGCAGAAGGGGACACGGAAGCTGGTGATAGGGAACCCAAGGTTGGGTAAGGATATTGTTGATGTGTTGTGAGATTGTTAACCATTGTCATAGG